GTTGGGTTTAGTTGCTGAGTTGGGTTTAGTTGCGGAGTTGGGTTTAGTTGCGGAGTTGGGTTTAGTTGTGGAGTTGGGTTATGTTGGGTTTTAGTTGTTTAGTTGGGTTTTAGTTGTTTAGTTGTGTTTTAGTTGCTGAGTTGGGTTTAGTTGGATTTAGTTGCTAAGTTGGGTTTAGTTGCTGAGTTGGGTTTAGTTGCGGAGTTGGGTTTAGTTGCGGAGTTGGGTTATGTTTGGTTTTAGTTGTTTAGTTGGGTTTTAGTTGCTGAGTTGGGTTTTAGTTGTTTAGTTGGGTTTTAGTTGCTGAGTTGGGTTTTAGTTGTTTAGTTGGGTTTTAGTTGCTGAGTTGGGTTTAGTTGCTGAGTTGGGTTTAGTTGCTAAGTTGGGTTTAGTTGCTGAGTTGGGTTTAGTTGCGGAGTTGGGTTTAGTTGCGGAGTTGGGTTTAGTTGCGGAGTTGGGTTATGTTGGGTTTTAGTTGTTTAGTTGGGTTTTAGTTGTTTAGTTGTGTTTTAGTTGCTGAGTTGGGTTTAGTTGGATTTTAGTTGCTAAGTTGGGTTTAGTTGCTGAGTTGGGTTTAGTTGCTGAGTTGGGTTATGTTGGGTTTTAGTTGTTTAGTTGGGTTTTAGTTGCTGAGTCGGGTTTAGTTGCGGAGTTGGGTTTAGTTGCGGAGTTGGGTTATGTTGGGTTTTAGTTGTTTAGTTGGATTTTAGTTGCTAAGTTGGGTTTAGTTGCTGAGTTGGGTTTAGTTGCGGAGTTGGGTTTAGTTGCGGAGTTGGGTTATGTTTGGTTTTAGTTGTTTAGTTGGGTTTTAGTTGCTGAGTTGGGTTTTAGTTGTTTAGTTGGGTTTTAGTTGCTGAGTTGGGTTTTAGTTGTTTAGTTGGGTTTTAGTTGCTGAGTTGGGTTTAGTTGCTGAGTTGGGTTTAGTTGCTAAGTTGGGTTTAGTTGCTGAGTTGGGTTTAGTTGCGGAGTTGGGTTTAGTTGCGGAGTTGGGTTTAGTTGCGGAGTTGGGTTATGTTGGGTTTTAGTTGTTTAGTTGGGTTTTAGTTGTTTAGTTGTGTTTTAGTTGCTGAGTTGGGTTTAGTTGGATTTTAGTTGCTAAGTTGGGTTTAGTTGCTGAGTTGGGTTTAGTTGCTGAGTTGGGTTATGTTGGGTTTTAGTTGTTTAGTTGGGTTTTAGTTGCTGAGTCGGGTTTAGTTGCGGAGTTGGGTTTAGTTGCGGAGTTGGGTTATGTTGGGTTTTAGTTGTTTAGTTGGATTTTAGTTGCTAAGTTGGGTTTAGTTGCTGAGTTGGGTTTAGTTGCGGAGTTGGGTTTAGTTGCGAGTTGGGTTATGTTTGGTTTTAGTTGTTTAGTTGGGTTTTAGTTGCTGAGTTGGGTTTTAGTTGTTTAGTTGGGTTTTAGTTGCTGAGTTGGGTTTTAGTTGTTTAGTTGGGTTTTAGTTGCTGAGTTGGGTTTAGTTGCTGAGTTGGGTTTAGTTGCTAAGTTGGGTTTAGTTGCCTAGTTGGGTTTAGTTGCGGAGTTGGGTTTAGTTGCGGAGTTGGGTTTAGTTGCCTAGTTGGGTTTAGTTGCGGAGTTGGGTTATGTTGGGTTTTAGTTTTTTAGTTGGGTTTTAGTTGTTTAGTTGTTTTAGTTGCTGAGTTGGGTTTAGTTGGATTTTAGTTGCTAAGTTGGGTTTAGTTGCTGAGTTGGGTTATGTTGGGTTTTAGTTGTTTAGTTGGGTTTTAGTTGCTGAGTCGGGTTTAGTTGCGGAGTTGGGTTTAGTTGCGGAGTTGGGTTTAGTTGCGGAGTTGGGTTATGTTGGGTTTTAGTTGTTTAGTTGGGTTTTAGTTGTTTAGTTGTGTTTTAGTTGCTGAGTTGGGTTTAGTTGGATTTTAGTTGCTAAGTTGGGTTTAGTTGCTGAGTTGGGTTTAGTTGCGGAGTTGGGTTTAGTTGCGGAGTTGGGTTTAGTTGCGGAGTTGGGTTATGTTGGGTTTTAGTTGTTTAGTTGGGTTTTAGTTGTTTAGTTGTGTTTTAGTTGCTGAGTTGGGTTTAGTTGGATTTTAGTTGCTAAGTTGGGTTTAGTTGCTGAGTTGGGTTTAGTTGCGGAGTTGGGTTTAGTTGCGGAGTTGGGTTATGTTTGGTTTTAGTTGTTTAGTTGGGTTTTAGTTGCTGAGTTGGGTTTTAGTTGTTTAGTTGGGTTTTAGTTGCTGAGTTGGGTTTTAGTTGTTTAGTTGGGTTTTAGTTGCTGAGTTGGGTTTAGTTGCTGAGTTGGGTTTAGTTGCTAAGTTGGGTTTAGTTGCTGAGTTGGGTTTAGTTGCGGAGTTGGGTTTAGTTGCGGAGTTGGGTTTAGTTGCGGAGTTGGGTTATGTTGGGTTTTAGTTGTTTAGTTGGGTTTTAGTTGTTTAGTTGTGTTTTAGTTGCTGAGTTGGGTTTAGTTGGATTTTAGTTGCTAAGTTGGGTTTAGTTGCTGAGTTGGGTTTAGTTGCTGAGTTGGGTTATGTTGGGTTTTAGTTGTTTAGTTGGGTTTTAGTTGCTGAGTCGGGTTATGTTGGGTTTTAGTTGTTTAGTTGGGTTTTAGTTGCTGAGTCGGGTTTAGTTGCGGAGTTGGGTTTAGTTGCGGAGTTGGGTTATGTTGGGTTTTAGTTGTTTAGTTGGGTTTTAGTTGTTTAGTTGTGTTTTAGTTGCTGAGTTGGGTTTAGTTGGATTTTAGTTGCTAAGTTGGGTTTAGTTGCTGAGTTGGGTTTAGTTGCGGAGTTGGGTTTAGTTGCGGAGTTGGGTTATGTTTGGTTTTAGTTGTTTAGTTGGGTTTTAGTTGCTGAGTTGGTTTAGTTGTTTAGTTGGGTTTTAGTTGCTTAGTTGGGTTTTAGTTGTTTAGTTGGGTTTTAGTTGCTGAGTTGGGTTTAGTTGCTGAGTTGGGTTTAGTTGCTAAGTTGGGTTTAGTTGCTGAGTTGGGTTTAGTTGCGGAGTTGGGTTATGTTGGGTTTTAGTTGTTTAGTTGGGTTTTAGTTGTTTAGTTGTGTTTTAGTTGCTGAGTTGGGTTTAGTTGGATTTTAGTTGCTAAGTTGGGTTTAGTTGCTGAGTTGGGTTATGTTGGGTTTTAGTTGTTTAGTTGGGTTTTAGTTGCTGAGTCGGGTTTAGTTGCGGAGTTGGGTTTAGTTGCGGAGTTGGGTTATGTTGGGTTTTAGTTGTTTAGTTGGGTTTTAGTTGTTTAGTTGTGTTTTAGTTGCTGAGTTGGGTTTAGTTGGATTTTAGTTGCTAAGTTGGGTTTAGTTGCTGAGTTGGGTTTAGTTGCGGAGTTGGGTTTAGTTGCGGAGTTGGGTTTAGTTGTGGAGTTGGGTTATGTTGGGTTTTAGTTGTTTAGTTGGGTTTTAGTTGTTTAGTTGTGTTTTAGTTGCTGAGTTGGGTTTAGTTGGATTTTAGTTGCTAAGTTGGGTTTAGTTGCTGAGTTGGGTTTAGTTGCGGAGTTGGGTTTAGTTGCGGAGTTGGGTTATGTTTGGTTTTAGTTGTTTAGTTGGGTTTTAGTTGCTGAGTTGGGTTTTAGTTGTTTAGTTGGGTTTTAGTTGCTGAGTTGGGTTTTAGTTGTTTAGTTGGGTTTTAGTTGCTGAGTTGGGTTTAGTTGCTGAGTTGGGTTAGTTGCTAAGTTGGGTTTAGTTGCTGAGTTGGGTTTAGTTGCGAGTTGGGTTTAGTTGCGGAGTTGGTTTAGTTGCGGAGTTGGGTTATGTTGGGTTTTAGTTGTTTAGTTGGGTTTTAGTTGTTTAGTTGTTTTTAGTTGCTGAGTTGGGTTTAGTTGGATTTTAGTTGCTAAGTTGGGTTTAGTTGCTGAGTTGGGTTTAGTTGCGGAGTTGGGTTTAGTTGCGGAGTTGGGTTTAGTTGTGGAGTTGGGTTATGTTGGGTTTTAGTTGTTTAGTTGGGTTTTAGTTGTTTAGTTGTGTTTTAGTTGCTGAGTTGGGTTTAGTTGGATTTTAGTTGCTAAGTTGGGTTTAGTTGCTGAGTTGGGTTTAGTTGCGGAGTTGGGTTTAGTTGCGGAGTTGGGTTATGTTTGGTTTTAGTTGTTTAGTTGGGTTTTAGTTGCTGAGTTGGGTTTTAGTTGTTTAGTTGGGTTTTAGTTGCTGAGTTGGGTTTTAGTTGTTTAGTTGGGTTTTAGTTGCTGAGTTGGGTTTAGTTGCTGAGTTGGGTTTAGTTGCTAAGTTGGGTTTAGTTGCTGAGTTGGGTTTAGTTGCGGAGTTGGGTTTAGTTGCGGAGTTGGGTTTAGTTGCGGAGTTGGGTTATGTTGGGTTTTAGTTGTTTAGTTGGGTTTTAGTTGTTTAGTTGTGTTTTAGTTGCTGAGTTGGGTTTAGTTGGATTTTAGTTGCTAAGTTGGGTTTAGTTGCTGAGTTGGGTTTAGTTGCTGAGTTGGGTTATGTTGGGTTTTAGTTGTTTAGTTGGGTTTTAGTTGCTGAGTCGGGTTATGTTGGGTTTTAGTTGTTTAGTTGGGTTTTAGTTGCTGAGTCGGGTTTAGTTGCGGAGTTGGGTTTAGTTGCGGAGTTGGGTTATGTTGGGTTTTAGTTGTTTAGTTGGGTTTTAGTTGTTTAGTTGTGTTTTAGTTGCTGAGTTGGGTTTAGTTGGATTTTAGTTGCTAAGTTGGGTTTAGTTGCTGAGTTGGGTTTAGTTGCGGAGTTGGGTTTAGTTGCGGAGTTGGGTTATGTTTGGTTTTAGTTGTTTAGTTGGGTTTTAGTTGCTGAGTTGGGTTTTAGTTGTTTAGTTGGGTTTTAGTTGCTTAGTTGGGTTTTAGTTGTTTAGTTGGGTTTTAGTTGCTGAGTTGGGTTTAGTTGCTGAGTTGGGTTGTTGCTAAGTTGGGTTTAGTTGCTGAGTTGGGTTTAGTTGCGGAGTTGGGTTATGTTGGGTTTTAGTTGTTTAGTTGGGTTTTAGTTGTTTAGTTGTGTTTTAGTTGCTGAGTTGGGTTTAGTTGGATTTTAGTTGCTAAGTTGGGTTTAGTTGCTGAGTTGGGTTTAGTTGCTGAGTTGGGGTGTTGCTCCGTTTTCAGGGTTCAAGGCGGCGGTGATCTCCAGAGACGGCGGGCGACTGGAGAGACTCCGTGCCTTCGTCTCTCCCAGCAGCAAGGACAACCTCATCGCTGTAGTGGGGAATGTGGGTGAGTTGGCCCACAGCATGACGCTTCCTCTGGTGAATGGCAGTAACAGAACAACAAAATCAGTCCAGCAGAACATTATGACCACCTGCCAGGTCCTGTTTCCTGCTGGAGCAGTTGACGGACTCCTGCAAATAGTCGCGCCCCAACAGGTTTCTAGCTCACCTGCTAGCATGCTAATCAGTTCTGCTCAACAGGTGCAGATGGGAAAGCTGGTTTCCATGGTGACCCAGAGGTCCCATTTCTTCTTCAAGCATTTTGCTGCTTAACTTCTCGATGCTTGAATTTCCTGCACTGTAAAACTGCGGCTGCAGAACATCAACACGTTAGCATGCTAACATTACATTAACAAGTTGGCATGCCAACCTTAATTCATCATGTTAGCATGCTAATAAATCAAAGCGTTAACAATGTTAACGTAAAATCAATGAGTTAGCATGCTAATGTTAAACCAACAGGTTAGCATGCTAACCTTAATTTAACGTCTTGGCATGCTAATGTTAAATCAGTGCATGTACATGCTAAAGCGATGATTAAAGTTGGGACGCCATGAGGACGTGCTCTCCGTTTGTCCAGGCTCAGAGGACGGAGCGCAGCAGGCGAAGCAGCAGCTGCTGCAGCAGGTCGGGAAAGTGACGGACGTGGTTTCTGCCCTGGGCTTCAGCTGGTGGCAGGGCGGCCCACCACACACCCAGACCCTCCAGGACCTGCACTGGGTCAGCACACACACAGCCTGCAGCACACACACAGCCTGCAGCACACACACAGCCTGCAGCACACACACAGCCTGCAGCACACAGGGATCATGCATGTCCCCTGCCGTCCTCTCCTGATTGTCCCTCGTGTCCTCATGAGAACTGCCTGTCGTCCTCTGCAGGTTTTGGACGCGCTGCTGTTCAGCACCTTTGTCTCCTGGAAGACGTTCTTTCCCCTGGTGAGGGACGATCCGTCCTGCAGCTACACCTTCATCACAGGTAACCGTGGCAAAATATTCAAACCCCGGGACGCTCTTATGCTGCGTCGCCATTGGCAACAAGAATCAGAAGCAATAAACGTCTTTGACCCCCAGCCCATGAATTTGACCTCTGATTCATGGGCTGCCATAGGTCACCTTGTTAAAAGTTTAACTTTGACCCCACAATTTCCTCCAAGATTGTCCTGATTTAGCTGCGGCCATCTTCCCACAGCATGATGCTGCCACCACCGTGTTCCACTGTACAGATGCCGTTTGTTCTCTCATGTTCTCTAACAAACCCAGAAGAAACATGTTGGGGAGGGGGAGCTCCCAGTAACCCCAGTGTGCTCTGTGTGGCTCTGCCTCCAGGGGGAGCCGGAGAGCAGCTGCTGATGGCGGGGACCGGCTTCCTGACGGTCGGCGCCGCTAGCGCGCTGGCCTTCTGCCAAGTTCTGCGAGACGAATACCCGCAGGTAGACTGCAGGCTGTGCCAGGTGAGGGAGGGGCTGACCCCTAGCTCTGACCTCTGACCCCTCCCAGCCCTTTTAATGTTTTAATGTTTGAGTTGTTTTGCTGAATCTGCCATTTTTTATGGTTCATCTCCCACCATGCAGTTCTTCCAGCCTCCTTTTCCTCTCCAACAGGTGAAGATCAACACAGGTGTGGCGACTCCAGAGCGCCTGGCGCCTGGCTACCTCAGCCATCTGGACCTGGGCGTTGCAGTGGCAACCTTGGTGGAGCGAGGAAGCTCCTCCCACCGCGTGTTCACCGTCGGCAGCCCTGCGGACCTGAAGACCCAGCTGCTGGAAGGGAACTTGTAGAACCCCACAGAACCGGTTCTGGTTCTGTCCAGATTAAGGCTAAAAGAATTCCTGTAAAATTTTCTGTCCAAAACATTAAACATGTTGAAAATAAAACCTGAGGAATTCTGGGAGATTTTTTTGACAAATGGAGTTCTGGAGAAAAGTTCTGACCAGTTTGGTTCTGGTTCTGGTTGCTTCTGCTGATGGATCGCCTGTGGCAGGTTGCTGTGTTGACGCAGGCTGACAAGTTTTCGTCTGACAGCCGACCAGACGCAGCGAAGCGGCAGGAAATCGTGTCACATCGGTTCGCGGCGAGTTGTTTCTGATGAATCCTGGGTTGACCCGGCCGGTGGAGGACGAGCTCCAGACGGAGGGGACGGCCCGAACCAGGAACCGCTCCTGCAGCAGAACGGGTCTGACCCGGTTCTGGTTGGATGACCCACCTTGGGTCAAGGTCTCTTATAAAATGTTTCCATCACAAAGAGTTGCTCTGATCCACCTCGGCATGTTTCCCGAAACCCTCACATGCTCTGACATCATGATGACGTCAATGCGATGACATCATGATGCTATGCAATGACATCACGTGAGGGAACACCAGGGAGGCAGGAGCGAAACCCTTTTGTGCCTTCAGCACCGATCAACCCTTTGCATCGTAATTTGGATCGGCGGAAACTCTTGTCTCAAGTTGTTTCTGTCCGTTTCTTCATGGCTTCTTGCTCCACTTAGTTCATTTGTCTGTGTCAGAGACAGGCTAACCCTCACCCAAGACGGCGGGATTTACAGAAGCCTCTTTGAAAACCACACAATATTCACATGCACAACAGCTCAAGACATTACGGCACCCCCATTTATGTGCTGCTTTCACAATAAAAGCGCACTTCCACTTCATGTTTGATCTACTTTCCAGTAGATTTCCAGCAGCTTCATATTTAGACTTTGTATTTCTACAGTTGCAAAAAGAAATAATGTATCGGAAATAATTGGGGACATTAAGCAATGCTGAAAACTCTCTGTTTCCAGTGACTTCTCTCACTTGTGGGTGGCAGAGGGACACTTAGAACAAATCCAGCAAATGTGAGAGGGACCTGGCTGCAGCTAACAGGAAGGGGCGGGACGGACCTCTGTCAGTCTCAGACCTTATATGGAAATGGGACAATTGCACTCCGGAACTGAAGGAGGCGCTATTTCCTATATCATCCATTTCTCAAGTTTTTATTTTCTTGTGAAATCTGTGATATATCTTCACATTTAGGGAGGATTTTCACTCCCAGCATGTATTTGAACTTCTCTTTTTTATTTCAGTGCAGCTCACAGTTTTTAACACATTCTGTAGCTTTTTTTTTTAGCAGGAAACTCCAAAAAAAATATGGCACCTTCGATAGGGAACTGCTTTTCCTTTTTCTGGCAGCACACCATTTCCGCTTCATGGTGGAGGGAAGGAACTTTACTGCTTTTGTTGACCACAAGCTTCTCACTTTTGCAATGGCAAAAGTTTCTGAACCGTGGTCGGCTCGGCAACATTTATCTGCCATTTCAGAGTTCAAGAATTCAGCCAACAGAATAACCTGGTGGACGACTGTCTGTCCAGAGCAAAGGTTGCTTCTGTGCATCTAGGTGTGGACTACCTCACCATGACCACAGACCAACTGACTAACCAGGATATTCTGGCCTTTAAAGCAGCTGAATGCAGTTTGCCTTTAGAGGACGTCTCCTTTCATGAGTGTGACCAACCCTTCTTTGCAATGTCTCGACTGCCAAACCTCAACCTTTGGTCTTCACTAGTTGCTGTCGGTGGGTTTTCGATGCAGTTCCTTCCCTTTCACACCAGGGCATTAAACTGGTAGGGGCAAAGTTTTTGTGGCCGGGACTCCTTAAAGATGTACGGACATGGGTGACTTCCTGTTTGGCTTCCCAGAATGCCAAGGTGCAGCGGCACACTAAGGCTCCACTGGAGCACTTTCCTGTTCTATAATGGAAGTTTGAACATGTGCATGTGGACTTACTGGGGACACTTCCACCTTCCAGAGTCTCCTGACCATGGTGGACAGAACTACTCGGTGGCCGGAGGCAGTTCCACTGTCAACCACTTCGGTTGATGTGACTCGGGCATTTATCTCCTCCAGGATCTTGACCTCTGACAGAGGTCCCCAGTTCCCTTCATAGCTGTGGACTGCAGAGAGTCTTGGGGTTAAAGTCCACCGTTCTGCTGCCTCCCATCTGCTGGCCAACGGTCTCTGTGAGAGGTTCCACTGCTCAATGAATGCTGCGTTGCATTCATTGTGTCTCGTTGGTGGATAATAGATGGATAGATCGCCTGCCTTGGGTTTTCTTGGGCCTGCATACGGCTCCAAAAGAGGACCTGCGGTTTTCTTCAGCAGAGTTGGTCCTGGTTCAGCCTTTGAGGGTGTTTCTTCTGGGTCCAGCAGGTTCGGTTGATCCCCAGAGGTGTAGAACAGTTCTAAATGGGGAATCTAGATCTTTTGTCTTTTTGTTCCAAAGGACCTAATGTCTGTATTTATCTGCCGTGACTCACACCGCTCACCACTTCAGCCTCCTTACGATGGTCCAATCCGTGTTCTGGAGAGGAGAACCAGGATGTTCTGGTGGAGTTGGGGGTAATCAGGAGAGTATTTCCTGATTACCCCTTTTGAATCCAGCTCATGTAACCAGGGAACCCAGTTGAGTTGGCTCAGCCTCCTCGCACTGGTCGTCCCCCAGTTTCTTCACCCAGTCTTTCTCTCCTTACAGCTGATTTGTCCCCTCAGGTGGACAGTTTGGTAGTGGTCCATCTGGAGTCTCTGTTCCTGGTGGCCGACTTATTAAACTCCCTAGTCGTTACTGTTGGTGTTTTAATTGTTTTGTTTGTTGGAGCTGTTGAGTTTTTCCTTTGTGTTCTTTTATGTAAATGTGATTTTGTTTCACATGTTGTGTTTTTGTGTTTGACATTCACACCACAATGTATGCTTTTATTGTGAAGGGGAGCGGTGAGGAGAGAATTCACTTTTACTTTATTCTATTTTTGGTTTGGATTGAGAATAAAACAAGACTTTAATGATAATTTTGACTTTTTTTGCTGACTTCCACAGTACATTATATATAAATGATGAAAAATCAGAAATGTTTAACTATTTTATTGGCGACGTTCAGACAGGAGGAGCTGCTGTCATAGACTGACTCTCAGCTTCCTGCTGCTCCACCTGCTGCTCCACCTGCTGCTCCACCTGCTGCTCCACCTGCTGCTCCACCTGCTGTTTCACCTGCTGCTCCACCTGCTGCTCCACCTGCTGCTCCACCTGCTGCTCCACCTGCTGTTTCACCTGCTGCTCCACCTGCTGCTCCACCTGCTGCTCCACCTGCTGTTTCACCTGCTGTTTCACCTGCTGCTCCACCTGCTGCTCCACCTGCTGCTCCACCTGCTGCTCCACCTGCTGCTCCACCTGCTGCTCCACCTGCTGCTCCACCTGCTGTTTCAGAGCATTTCAATGGGAGGTAAATTGTAAAATGCAGCAATTTTGTAGATGAAAATAATCAAAATTGGTTCAGCTAACTGAAAATTAAATACTGGGTAGTACTACTGTGGTAGTTCAAACCACAGGGTGAAAATGGCAGTATAAATGATTGATTATAAATGATTGATTATAAATGATTGATTATAAATGATTGATTATAAATGATTGGTTATAAATGATTGATTATAAATGATTGATTATAAATGATTGGTTATAAATGATTGATTATAAATGATTGATTATAAATGATTGATTATAAATGATTGGTTATAAATGATTGATTATAAATGATTGGTTATAAATGATTGATTATAAATGATTGGTTATAAATGATTGATTATAAATGATTGATTATAAATGATTGATTATAAATGATTGGTTATAAATGATTGATTATAAATGATTGGTTATAAATGATTGATTATAAATGATTGGTTATAAATGATTGATTATAAATGATTGGTTATAAATGATTGGTTATAAATGATTGATTATAAATGATTGATTATAAATGATTGATTATAAATGATTGGTTATAAATGATTGATTATAAATGATTGATTATAATGATTGATTATAAATGATTGGTTATAAATGATTGATTATAAATGATTGGTTATAAATGATTGATTATAAATGATTGGTTATAAATGATTGATTATAAATGATTGATTATAAATGATTGGTTATAAATGATTGGTTATAAATGATTGATTATAAATGATTGATTATAAATGATTGGTTATAAATGATTGATTATAAATGATTGATTATAAATGATTGGTTATAAATGATTGATTATAAATGATTGGTTATAAATGATTGATTATAAATGATTGATTATAAATGATTGATTATAAATGATTGGTTATAAATGATTGATTATAAATGATTGATTATAAATGATTGGTTATAAATGATTGATTATAAATGATTGGTTATAAATGATTGATTATAAATGATTGGTTATAAATGATTGATTATAAATGATTGATTATAAATGATTGATTATAAATGATTGGTTATAAATGATTGGTTATAAATGATTGATTATAAATGATTGATTATAAATGATTGGTTATAAATGATTGATTATAAATGATTGATTATAAATGATTGATTATAAATGATTGGTTATAAATGATTGATTATAAATGATTGGTTATAAATGATTGATTATAAATGATTGGTTATAAATGATTGGTTATAAATGATTGATTATAAATGATTGATTTATAAATGATTGATTATAAATGATTGGTTATAAATGATTGATTATAAATGATTGGTTATAAATGATTGATTATAAATGATTGGTTATAAATGATTGATTATAAATGATTGGTTATAAATGATTGATTATAAATGATTGGTTATAAATGATTGATTATAAATGATTGATTATAAATGATTGGTTATAAATGATTGATTATAAATGATTGGTTATAAATGATTGATTATAAATGATTGGTTATAAATGATTGATTATAAATGATTGGTTATAAATGATTGGTTATAAATGATTGATTATAAATGATTGATTATAAATGATTGGTTATAAATGATTGATTATAAATGATTGATTATAAATGATTGGTTATAAATGATTGGTTATAAAT